CCCACAGGAGCCACAGCCCCCCTTGCAGCCCCCACAGGAGCCACAGCTGGAGCAGGAACAGGCTGGCACACAGCTGCACACGGGCTTGCAGCAGCTGGAGCCACAGCCCCCACAGCTGGAGCCACAGCCCCCGGAGCAGCCACAGCAGGTCATGGTTCTGGAGGTGGAGGGTGGAGGAGGTGAGAGCAGCAGGTGGAGAGGGAGGAGTGAGGTGTGGGGCCTCCTGAGCCAGGGCTTTAAGTACCTGTCCGGGGTCAGGTGTGAAGCTGGGCACCTGGTCACTTCCTGGTTCCTGTTTGTGCCATTTTTAGGTCCTCTTTATCCTGTGTCCCTCTTAACAGCAACCCTTGTGTATGGCCCATGTTTAGTGCTTGTCAGGTGCCCAGTGGGGCCAGCTCTTTTGTCAAATTTGTGTCCATACGGGAGGAAGGTCCCAGGGTGCAGCCCATTCTTGTTACCTGAAGAGTCACATTTGATTAAAAACGTCTCTGTTTTAGATCTGCAAAGGGTACAGAGAATGATGTATCACATAGCCATAGAAAACATCCAACTTACGGAAATAATCACAACATAGATGAAGCCTCCTTTATACATCGGGTTTTTTTTGTTCAGATTTGGAATTACCACTCCAAGGGCCTCACGCTCCTACTGAGCATGGATGGCCTTTCAATTTACTTCAAATGCTCAAACTTTGTGTATTTGGTGGTACACGGTCTTTCTCCTGCTGCCAGCTTCTCCTGAGACGGCTGGCGAAGGGTCTACAGGTGACTGTGGGCCCACCTTGATCTCTGGCTGTAGTGCTGTTCACAGAGGTGACCTCTGGTTGAGCTGTCACTGTCTCCAGCAGCACCACCTTCTGCGGAGGCTCCCAGTGCATTTGGAGTGGGTGCGCCTGCCTTTGCCCCTCAGCCCCTTTCCATGGTGGCGGTGAGGGTTCCAGCCGGTGCTGAGGAGGCGGGGAGGCCCCAGGCCTGTCCACTCCCTCCTCACCCTGGGCTTGACCAGGACCCCTGGGGAGGGCCACTGCTGTCATCTCATTTTCTAGGTCCCTTTTCATTTCTTTTCGTTTCCTCCTCACATCCTTTGGCCACACAGAATTGGGCTCTGACTCTTTGTATGGAGGTCTGAGTGCTTTGAACGTTTGCATTCTGACCAATAATGCACGATTGCAGGCTCATCCCAGCCTTCGGCCTCCTCTCCTTCTCCTTCTCCACCCCCTTTCCCTCTTCCTTCCCCCTTTTTACCAAGTTTTCATCTGAATGTAATAAAGTGTGTGTGGGGGGGTTGACTATGAAGTGTCCCCCAGAGGCTCATTGTGAAGGTTTGGTCCCCAATGCAGCGGTGCGCAGAGGGGGACTTGGGGCAGTGCCTGGATCCTGAAGGCTCGACCTCATCAGTGGGTCCATTCATGGGGGCACTCACCAAATCCCCCTGGGGGGTGGAGGAAGCTGGGGCTGGGACCCAGGGGGAGGGAGTGGGTCCTGGGGGTGGTACTCTGGGAACTCAGCCTTGTTCTTGGCCCTTTCCTGGCTTGTCCTTCCTGGCTGCAAGAGCTGAGCAGCTCTCCTCCTGCACACCCTTCAGCCATGATCTTGTTCCTTACCTCAGGCCCAGGACAACGGAACCAGCTTTCCTCCTTCACGTTAGTGTTCTCAGGTGTTTTGTCCCAGTGACAAAAAGTTGATTGATGTGTGTGTGTGTGTGTGTGTGTGTGTGTGAAGCTTTCAAAGTTTGGAGATTATTTATTTATTTAGTGGTGCTGGGGATTGAACCCAGGGTGCTCTATCACCAAGCCACATCCCTAGCCCTTTTCAATCTGCATTTTGAAATAGGGTCTCTCTAAGTTGCTGCGGCTGGCCTTGAACTTATGACCCTGTTGCTTCTGCCTCTCGAGCTGGATCACAGGCATGCACCACTATGCCTGGTAAGTTTGGAGTTTAAACCACCTAGAATTGAATCTTGTTTGTTTTTGAAGCACGGTTTCCATCTCTCATTTTCCCCCTGTGGATAACAGATCTGGCCGCAGCTGTGGGTTTTCCTGTGACCTGTCCTCTTCCATCTTTTCAAGCCCCTGGCTTCTGTCTGCTCTAGGTCTCTTAGAGTGTCCCCATTCTAGCATCCTGCTCCCCGAACCAGGACAGCCTGTAGTGACCTGGACAGCCTGGGTGGTGTATCTGTGGATTCAGCTTATCAGGTTTCAGGAAGAATCCTTATCAGAATGTTTATTATACCTGAGCTGAACTTGCAGATTAATTTGGGGGAGAATTGTCATATTTAAGATTTTGAATTCTTATCTGTGGATGTCATATATATTTTAAACATACTGAACATGTATGTGAAACATATAACATGATAGGCTGGGGCTGGGGCTCAGTGCAGAGCACTTGCCTAGCATGTGTGAGGCACTGGGTTCAATCCTTAGCACCACATAAAGATAAACAGGTAAAATAAAGACATGCTGTCCATCTACATACAAAAAATGTTTTTTTAAACATATCAGCATATTTTAAAGTTTTAGGCTATATTTACACTTACACTCAGATGTTTCCTGCATTAAGTGCTTTCCTGGTTAGAGTCACTGTTATGTACACACCTTTTTTTTTTTTTTTTTTCCGGTTGCTGTTGGAAATGGTACCTTTTAAAATTGTGTTTTCTAACTGTTGTTGATTGTTTTTGTGTATTTTTCTTGTTCTCAGCAACCTTGCCAAGTTCTATTTTTTTTGGGGGGGGGTACTCAGGATGGAACTCAGAGGCACTCAACCACTGAGCCACATCCCAGCTCTATTGTGTATTTTATTTAGAGACGGGGTCTCATTGAGTTGCTTAGTGCCTCACTTTTGCTAAGATTGTCTTTGAGCCTGTGATACTCCTGCCTGGGCCTCCCAGCCGCTGGGATTACAGGCATGGGCCACTGCCTCAGGCCAAGTTCTATTTTTAATTCCAATGATTCACCTGTAGATTTTCTGTGCTGACACCCATTTTAGTGAAATTTGGAAGTATGTGTTCCCTTTTCATCTTTGTGATTCACTGTTCTGATCAGGACAGGGCTTTCATGGTGTAGTGGACAACTGGACTCCTGGTTTTGGAGGTAATGCCTCTAACAGTCTGCTGTTGGGTGACATGGACCGCACATGCTGAGAGTGCAACTTAGATGAAGGGAGGTCGCTTTCATTTCTAATTTGCAGATCCCTTTTCCTGTGTCTTGAGTACGTGTTGAACTTGACTGAATGGTTTCTGCAGCCGTTGGAGTGGCCGGACCGTGTTTCCCTTTAGTAAGGTGGTGAATTTGGGGTGAGGAGCCCTTGCATTCCGCCACTGCGGCTTGTGGGATGTGTTATCCTTTTGCGCGTTTTGGCTTTGCATCGCCTCACCAGCCAGGCTGTGTGCTCGGCCCACTGCTCCAGCCCGCTTGGCTCTGGTGGCCTCAAGCTACCTGGCCGCACGGTGAGAGGCACCCCCCGCCCCGGGCCTCCTGGCTGGGGAAGCTGGTCCGAGCCGTTCGTGACCGCCCCCTGGCGGTCCCGCTGAGAGGCGCTGGGGTCCCTGGCGCGCAGGGTCGCCGCGGTCTGGCTGCCTGCTCTCCAGCTGCTCCGCGGAGATCCTTTCAGGTCGGCTGGCGCGTGCTCCTCACTGTCTACCTCTCTCTCCTACCTCTCTCTCACTCTTCACGGCTGCTGCGTTTTGTCCCTCTTCCTTCCCGCTCAGATCTTAGGCCCTTGTTGCCTCCCTCTCCATTGCTCACCAGCTTTTCTAAAAGTTGCTTTTTTCAATCTTTTCAAAGACCAGGTTCTCTGTTGGTTCTCCCTACTGTGCGTTTTACACACTGTTTTGTCTATTCTGCTCTTACCTTTAGCCACCCACGCCTTTTCTCTTCTTTTCTGTTGTCCCTTCCCCACTTTCTCAACACAGACGTGGCTCAGGAACTTCCAGTCTATTTCTGTACAGCCAACTCGCAGGAACCTTCCTGAGCCGAGGGTGTGACCTGGTTTTGACATGCACTGTTTTCAGGATTATTCAGCTGTCCAGGTGGCTGGCCCCGGGGGTGTTTGCAGGTGGCCCACTGAGATCCATGCCCTGTGCGTGTGCCAAGGTCTCCAGGGACCCTCTGTGTCTGCCTGCAGTGCCAAGTTGCTGTTTGCTTATCATCAATGGAAAGATAGTAAATGTATTAAAACTGCCCCTGGGGCTGGGGCTGTAGCTTAGTTGGTAGAGTAATTGCCTGGGCACTGGGTTTGATCCTCAGTACCACATAAAAATAAAATAAAGGCATGTGTCCATCTACATAAAAAATATTTAAACCAAACAACAACCACAAAAGCAAACCCTGCTCCTGTGGTTCTGGATTTAAACCTTGTCATTCCTACAGGTTTTTCTTAGTGGAACTTGAGGAGCATCAGTTTAGGTGTCCGGGCCTCCTGGCTGGACTGTTCTCCTGTGTGGATGCCTGTAGTGCTGCTGGTTCCTCCTGACACCCTGCAGGGTGGAGGTGCCTTCCTCCCGAGGAGTTGGCGGTGTAACCCCAGCTTCCCGCTCTTCCTGAGCCCCTGTCCATGTGGACGCTGCTTTAGAGTGGACCATCCTTAGAGTGTCTGTTCTTCACCCACTGAGTTTTGTTGAGACTGATGATACATGTGACTTGCTCTTACTGCCCTTTGCATTTGACTCTTCTATTTTTAACATTTCCTCTCCCTTCTCTTACATGGAGCTTTCAAAATTCATTTCTGTTTTCCTTTGACTCACTTAGAGTTGCATACTATGTTCCCAATCTCCTTTTTGTTTTGCAGAGTGAGGGATGGACCCCTGGAGACATGAACAGGTGCCTCATTCCTCTGAGCTACATCCTAATCCCTGTGTTTCCCTGTTTAGTGACAGCCCTTGGAATTTCATATGCTTTTTTTTTTTTTTTTGGTACTTGGGATTGAACCCAGGACACTGTAGCACTGAGTACATCCCTAACTCTATTTCTTCCTCTTATTTTCATTTTGAGGCAGGGCTCACTAAGCTGTCCAGCTGGCCCAGAACTTGGCATCCTCTAGCTGAGCAGCGCATGGCCAGGCTGCTCTGGACCTGCCCAGCCCTTGCGTTAGGTGGGGCGGTTTTCCAGCTTGGCCTCCTCTTGTTCTTCCACCCCACATGCTCACTGCTGCCCATTTACGTGGTCACTGCTGGCAAGCTCACCCACATGCTGGCCAGTCACTCCAAGCATCCTCCTGTTTCTCCAGGGCCCTTCCTGTAGGTCCAACTTCCTTCCTCCGAGTCTCTGGGGCTCTGAGGAGGCACCTGCAGTTCTTCGGGAAGGCAGCCCTCGGGCCTCCCCTGGAGGGGTGCTCGGGCTCAGAGGGCATGCTGCAGAGCTGGCAGCTGTGCCCTGCTCATTCTGCTCCAGTGCTTCTGCGTGTGGGTCAGTGGGTCTGGCCCTGGAGACACTGTGCCCTCCTGGATTGCTCTGAGGGCTCATGTGTGTTGGATTCTTCCGCTGCGTCTGCATACTGAATCTGGGGCTTGGGAATCCTCTGCTGTGGGGGAGTCTTGCTGTGCCCACCTCTCCTGAGCACCCTCTGCTCTGAGGTGTCAAAGCTACCACTCTGTGCTCC